TCTCGGTAAAATCCCATGAAGAGTTTTGCTGGCTTTTATTACCATGTGTGCACAAATCCAAAACACACATGCTGTGTTGATTCAATCCACAACTACAGTGCTTTTGTGTCCATTTTTGCTCAGTTCTCATTGCTTCCTCTTTTTTCCTGCAGAAGTAAAAACCTTCTACCTTTCTTGCAAGCAAAACTCTTCCTGAAAAATAATTCCACTTAATCAGAAATGGTTCCCAGCCTTCACACTTGGTGAGCAGAAAGCAGTAAGTTCTGTGAAGGATTTAGACTCAATGAGTTTTGGGGACAGAGCACTGCAGTGCTTAGGCTTGTTTCTCACACACCATTACAATGGTTGGTCCACACAGCATGATGAGTATGTGCAGAGCTCCTCTGCTTCCCTAATCTGTGGTTTCAGTTTCTAAATGGATGACTATAACTATAAATGTACAATAGGTTTGAAAAAATAATCTTATCCAGAGCAAATGGAAAACCAAAATCATCAACTATGGAAAATGAAGGGTTCTACTAAAAATAACTGTGGTATTTCTGGTTTTGCCAAAACCAGTATTTTCAAATAAGCTGGGGACAAATGTATCTCAGTGGCCACTTCCTGAGCTTGAAGACAGATGTCAACAGTCTCTTTTTCCTTACAATCAAAAACCAGCAGAATGAAATTACTAAGTGCAGACAATTTAACTGCTCCATGATAAGCTTACCAATGGCACTAACAAGACAGGAAAGAATCACACCAAATATAGACTGCTGTTCTTTGGAAGACCCATAAAGAACAGCTGAGAAATGGAGGAGGAGGCAACTGGAGAGTGAGAAGGACTGGAAAAGACTGAAGAGGGGACCAGAGTAGCAGAGACTCTTTCTGAAGAGAGGGGAAGTACTAGAGGCATGGGGAACTTAAAGCTCCATAACTGTTAGGAGATTGTAGCAACAGAAGAAGCAATAGCTTTCCCCTCGGAGCACTTGGAGTATGAGGGAATAATAAAACTTTTAGACATCTACTGGCAAAAATTTCACAGTGAATAGGTGTCTTCAGACATGGGCCAGGAATGATGGCCCAGCATTACCTCCCCAAACATCTGCCCCTGGGAGAGTCAGTGGTGTGCCACCCAGCTTCCTCAGAGGTGGGGAAATTGCTGCTTTCCTCCTTCTTGTCTATTTTTTATTTCACTCTGTAGTTTTGTCAAATGCAGAAACTGCCAAAACCCCAAGGGCTTTCAAAATGGAACTCAGAATTTTAAGAAAAACAAAGGAAAGGTCTCCATGGCTCAACTGTTATGCCAAAGTGCATTGTAGGTAATTTTAAAAAATATACTAGTTCCAGAAGGGTGTCAAAAATGAAACCTCATAGTTTGATAGTTGAAGTATGACAGTTTGACTATTAATGCAACAGAGAAAAAGGAAAAAGAAGCTTCTTCAAAGCATTTGTTCCATGAGTCACATGAAAAGAAAGAGCAAAGACTGCTTTTTATAAGTAGTATTTGGTAGCAAATGTTAGAAAAAGTCAAATACCTAATTAACTTATTTGCGGAGAGGAACAGCTGGTATGTTTTAGTGAAGATAAACATACAGAGTATATCCTTGCTGTTTGAGAGTTGATCTTTTTTCTTCACAGGCTTTTCTGAAATTAGCCATTGCCTTACTCAGCAGCAGAAGAGGAAGCTACCGCTAAGCATCAAGTAATTAATTCCTAAGTTCCAAGAAAGGTAGTATTAAATATGCTTATCTATATATTTTTTTCTGAATTAGATATGCATGGAAAAGGATAGGAATTGTGATGAAGCTGTGGGCAGAAGGGAAGGGAAGGCAAGGCTGCAAGATTCCTCTGGTTTAGAGTGTTTTTTCAGAAAAATGTTAACACAAATTTTTTAAAAAATTCCCTGCTAGTAAGATGAGTCGTCATACTTTCTGGAGAAGAGTATAAATGAGCATTTTAAAACAGAAGACTTTGTAGACACAGATTGTGTTTTCCACATCAAGTGCAACTTTTCCTTTTGTAATTTATACTGTAATTTGAAAATGCCAATTGAAGGGTTATGCAAGCTTCTGCTGTGAAGCAAAACCTGGAAGGTGCTTCCATATTTCTCTCTAAATTAAGATGAAGCAAAGACTTGAAAAATATTCTAATGAATGGAATTTCTAAAAAGCCCTCTTTTCAATGAACTGTACATTGGCTTCCTTCTGTGATCAGCTTTATATTCTTGATTGAATATCTCAGTTTGTTTTTTCCCTACTGATCAAAACCATACCCACACAGGTCCCCCATGTTCATGTACTAATCTCTCAGATGCCAGTCCTCAGTGCCCATATCAAAGTTGTTAGCATGAGCAGTTCCTATGCACTACATGGCTCGTGGCTTTTGAAGATGGCTGAGTGAAACACTCATCCACAGTGTTCCTCTTGGAGGTTATACATGCCTCTCTTTACAGGAATGCTAGAACACTCCATGCTTTCCTGTAATGTCTACCCCAAGCAGGCAGTAGTAGGACCCCAGTGGTAAAGGTCCCTCCTTCACGCCACAAGCCAGGATCTTGCACATCTGCACTCTGAGAGCCAAGCAGAGGTCCCTGCCTGCCTTGTCACCCTTACTCTTTACACCATCTCTTCTTCTTTCTGCAGAAGGCTGTCACAGTTTGGTTCACATCCATGCTCCATGGCTCCTGCTGGAAAGCACGGGGCCCAATGAAGAGTGTAATGCAACTAGTTGTGTGAGCAGCTGCTTCCTACCACATGCCTGCCAGCAGATAGAGGTGAGGAAGCCAAGAATGTGTGTGTATAGAGGCACATATGTTACCACTCTCCTTCCTATTGTCCTCCCTGGCCAGCTAGGTCAGAAGTCAGCAGCAGGAGTGCCAGCAGGGTTTGAATGGGGCACAGCAGGATTGAGGGCTTGGGGCCAAGGGATCTGCAAGAGGCAGCATTTCCTGGCTCCCATGGGGTTCGGCTACAGACAAGGCATGATGGCCACCAACAGCATGATGTCTCTTCAAGGGACAAGATTTCTCAACTCTTGAGTTTACAGGCATAGCCTTTATGGGTCAGCCTCTCATTTGAGAGAGCAAAACCTGGCATAGCCCTCTGAAGAGACTGCCAACCTACAGCTGCTAATTTATGAATTACTAATTCATAAATGTAGAGCTTTGGGGAGGTCTCTTTGTCAGAAAAGCAGCACAGAGTGTCTCTGGCAAGCAGAAGCAGTACGGCAGGGAGTTAGAGGGGTTATGAGACACACCCTGCTCCCTGGTCTCCAGCACTCAGATGTGTGGGTTTTAAGACTTTTTTTTTTTTTTCCCCCTCCAAGATTCAGAGGCACCCCTCAGCTGCCTGACCTGGTAAACTTAGGACTGCTGCAGCACCTCATGAATATCAGTCCTCTCCCACCCTATTCACCTTCATCAAATGAACATCAAAGACTATCCTGAAGTGCTTGGGAGGGAAAGTTAACATTTACTGTATATTAAATGTGAACTGAATACACTTCAGTTCACCTTTGCTTTTACATATAAGTCAGAAGGTTGAATCATACTGGGACAGGACTGACCTACTCAGGTTTTGCTCAAGTTATTGAGGTTGCTTAGTTATTTCTTTTAAGCCAGACTCTTAAAGAGTCTGGCAGACAAGGCTGCAGGGGAGCCTCAATGTTTCTGAAATTCTCATTAGGCATCTAGCTGTAATCTGAACCCACAGCCTTAGCATACAAATATTTGACCTTTCATTACTAGACCCATGTTCTGCAGAGGAGATGCTATTGTGAGAGCTCTGCCCTGTCTCCTGTGAGCATTCTCATAAAGCTACATTACACATCTTGACGTACTGAGAAACTCCTACACTGCAAGGAAGAGAGGACAACATATAAGATTTAAAGAGGGCTCCTTTCAGCTTCTAGTACCTGTAGTTAGATATGCAATCATTCTGCATTCAGAAAAAAATTGGACAATTCCTGAAACTTAGACCCCTTTATTCAGAATTAACTGCATATCTCTACTCAGCAGAGACATCTTCTGCACAGCCAGTCCCTCTGCCAGCAGCTGACTAAGCCTCAAGGATGGAGGGAAAGAAGAAAGAAGTAGGCTGGATTTTTGCCTTGTCTGCCAGACTTCCCCCTAAGATTGAAAACCTAACTTGCAAAGAATGAGTTTCCTTACAAGAACATTTTTAAGGCAGAGTACAGCAAATGCTAGTCCCCAGCCCTGCAGCAGCAGCAGCTTCTGCTAGGGCAGATGTAGGGATCATAAAATCAAGGGAGGGAAAAAAAGTAAATAAAAAACTTGATTCCTTACATTCTTGATTCCTACAAGGCAGTGTAGGAGCACAACAGGATTCTGAACTGCATATTTTTATTTTTCATGCTAAAAGCAAATCAATCACCCTAGACACAGACTCCTTAACACTCAGGACAGATTATAAGCACAACTTGCTCATCACTGGCACGGCCCCCCAACTTTTAACAGTCACTTTATTTAAAACCTGCAAGCTAGATTTGAGCCTTCTGCACAGAGAGGTCCAGTATGCCAAGTTGCAACTCAAAGTGACTCTTACTACCAGACTATAAACCCCTGAAAATAGGGCTAAGAGTTCATTATGAAGCTGGTGACAGACTCCTAATTATAGTGGTGCTATCAAGCATGATAAAGGCTGGTTGGTTTTATTATAGTCTCATCCAAAGACTTGTTGATGCTGGATTAGCTCATCTTTTCACTCCTGTTGAACTGCCATATGTTTCTTTTTCTCCTTTATGTAGCATTTGGCAGGAGTTATTTGTCAGCATTTAGAAAAAGAAAACATGTCTCCAGAAACTTAATTTCTAGTTCTTTCCATGCAAAGTTTCTTGTTTTACTTGTTAAAACCTTAGAAGCTGCATTTTCATGTCTAAAGCAAAACTGGATCAGAAAAAGTTACTATTAAAACACATAAGTATGGACAGTCTTAAACTGTCCTGATCACAATACTGCAGTATAACATCTCAGTATACTTTAAAGAAACAGATACCTCCATAAAAAGCTGTCTCTTTCTCCCTCCCCTTCCACACCAATTCTGCCCGATTTCATATCCACTTCAAATATCTGCAAGTAAATCAGAGCAAAATGCAGCATTTTACTAATAGATTTGATTATTTATTCATCACTACCACCTACCAGCATTGTTGCAAAGATCCAAATTATACAGAACCAGTCACAGGAATAAAACCAATATTAATGCAAGGGCTTTTAAAAAAGCCTGTTGTTTGGCAGCTGTGAACCCACTGAATGTCACAAGCTTAGCTAATACACCATAGGAGAAAGGATTTAATTGCTTCTAATCCCAGATATCAGACAGTTGGGAAGAACTGAGCAGCACCTGTATGGAGACAAACCTGGAAACCAGAACAGTACTGTTGCTGGACAGAAAAGAGATCTCCAACAGCCATTTCTTGACTTGATAGACTTTGGAGAAAAACTGAAGCTATGGCAGAGTTCACAGAGGTAGCCAGAGGAGAGACAGATTATTTCAGCTATGCATCAAAACATGCCCAGAAAAAGTGGGGTAGGGGGCACCATCAGCTTCAAATATGGAGCAGAATTCATCAACAGGTGAGGATTTTACTGCCCCATGTCATTTGAATCAGACACACTTAGGGCATCACTTCCCATCGCCCTTGCTCCCCTCCCTCAGCTTCCTCTTCAGTAAGAGCACTTCTGCTATGGCAAACAAGGTATTATTCCTCTGTAGGCATCTCCTGTGAATGACATACTCCCCAAACAAGTGCCATGGGCTCATCTCCAGATGGAAAGAAACACAGTTTATTTCAGAGGGGAAAAAAAGAAACGACCTTGAAAGGTCACAAAAACTGACCTAGGGGCAAGATAATGAGAACTAATAGAGCACTTGTGAGAAAAGGAAGGTCACCTATCACACTTGCTATTCAGCTCTGCTAAGTGGTTTTATTGATGGCTCATTAAAGGATTCTTATCCACCTTCAGCCTCAAAGTGGTTTTATAAAACAGACAATAAGAAAAAAACAAAACAACAAAATTGCCTTAGGTTTAAAGTATCTTAGCCTGATATCATTATGCACCGAGAAGTGCATAATGAAGGCATGAATTTTAATTAAATTTTATTTTTAAATTTAAGTGCAGTCTTCCTGCAGCCATGCCTTATCACCAACTGAAAGTTCATGTCTTTGGATACCTGAACCCCACCATAATCCAGTTTGCCTGAAAATAAGTAGCATAATTGATTTCATAATTCTCTGAGCGCTTTGGTGTAGGCTTTTGACTGTCCCACCATTTGCAGGTGTAGATATGTAGTAGATAAAGATTGATGCTTGTGTGCCAGCCCAGAGATGCTGAGCCTGCCAGTTTTAGGAGCTCTGCAAAACAAGCCACGAGATGGTTCCACAATTTCAACGTAAGTAGGCCAATAGAAAACTGAATGAATAAGGCCATTTTGATGGCTAGGCCATACCTACTGTAAGCAGTGGACTGGCAGCACAGATAACAGCAGGCAGATTTCCCTGCTTTCCCTTTTTTTTTTTTTTTTTTCCCTTCAGACACTGTCAGTAAATGCTGTAGGGAGGGACTGAAATTTCACCAGCACCTGCAGTAACATGCAGGCATGAGTAGCACCCAGCTTCAACAGAGTCTTTATAGAATACCAAAGAATAACTAAAGAGCCACATGTCACTGGTGAAAAACCTAGTGAACAAAGGCAAAGGTAATTTCAGTGTTGGTTGCCTGTAGTGTTATATGATAAATAATCTGATTTCTGCAATTATATCCTGGAAAAAAACCAAAAAACTATTGACAAGCACTATTAATAAATTTGATTTTTGGCTTGCAATTTGTAGCTTAACAGATGACAGTTACAAGGAATGAATTAAGCTAACTGCTACTGTGAACAGTGTATAGGTGCATACACATCCATTACCTATAAGGGACCTCTTCATATATTATACACGCCTTAAATCTCCCAAAAGCACTCAAAAACTGTCTTGCAGACACGATTGCATTCTGCCCCATTTAAATATTTCATTTAAATGAAAGGCCATCCTTTATATGGCTTAGGCTCAGTCAAGAGCCGTAGGGAAGTTGGGCACCGCGTGTCCCCGCGTGTCCGCGCACAGACCCAGGCTCCTGGGGCTGGGTTGGAACCAGTCTCCCCTCTCTGAAGACCAGAGTTGCACAGCCTGCAGGCACCTCCTCTATGGGAAAATTAGCTGCCATGTATTAAAGATCTGCTAGCTGCTGTTAACTGAAATGTTTTGAGAACTTGCACATCAACCTGTTTTGGTCAATATTCACAGAAAAGGCACAAGCATCTGTGACAGCAACATCTCTCTGTTGCCAAATCCTGCCTCTGAGCTGTTAAAAGAAAATGTCACTTAAATTTAACAGGACTAACAAGGTATTTTCTCAGTCCTCTTTCTTGGAAACAGCTGAGTTCTCTGGGTAAACGCTGTTTTTTCTTTTTAAATAATAATAACAGAATATTCAGCAAGAGGCAGACACCAAGTTAAAGAAATCTTAATGAAAGCTGTTAAAAATTGGCAAACTTGTAAGTGGCTGAAAATAGTCTTACAATGGGAAGTGTCAAACAACCTTGATAATAGGCAGCATTACCAGTCTGCTCTGTAATTCAAAATTATGTTTTATTATAGCGTTAAATATGCCTAAGCTCCGTTTACCAGTTCCACCATTGCCAGCCCAAGAGCAGCTGCTGGCCGATGGCAAATTAACAAGTTGTAGTTTTCCTGGTGTAGACAAGAGGGTAGTTGTTTCTGGCATTCAGCAGTTGGAGCAGGTTCATCTCAGCAGTTTTTATAGAGCTGAGCATGCTGGCATATGGCCATTAACACATTTCTCAGGTGGCTCCCTGCAGTAATAAGGTGGCCTGAACATATGAGAAGTAAGATCAAGTCATGTTTTTCCAGAAGCTGGTGTAAATGCAGTCAGCAGGTGACTTGAAGAAAGTACTACAAAGTACACACATCCCAGAGGTTTTGCTGTTTTGGAAAACAAATGAAAACTCCAGTTGACATTCAGGAAGCCAGGGTCTTTACTGTATCACAGGATGAGATTTATATGGTCAAATTCAGAAAGGGGACATTTCTTCTGAGACAAAGTAATAAGTGATCTGTTTCTGTATTTCCTTCAGGAAAACAAATGGCCATTAAAGAGCCAAACCTTGAAGACCATAAATGTTTTTCCCGCAAAAGATGAGCCACGTGAGTTCCCAGCCTAAAAGACTGTCACTTTTCAAAAATTCAGAAGTTTTTAACAGTCTCCAAGAAGCTCTTCAGATAAATCATGCAAAATGGCCCTTTTTCAAGGTGCAAGAATCACATGACACCAACCAACCTTTCACCACCCAGGACCAGTCAGTCTGTAGGAAAGGCTGCCAGTTCTAAGACAGTCTAAAATTGAAACTACAACTCACATTGTTCCTATGGAATAAAAAAAAGGAGGGGATGGACATGACACGCTTCCTAGGCTGCAGGCCCTGGGGAAGCCAGATTTTGGCCATCACAACAACCCTGGAAGTGAACCACTACCTTGGGTGTGCCAGAGAGCAGCTGCCCAGCGCCAGCAGTACAGAGGATAATGCTTCACACGAGGAGAGCATGAAAGATAAGTAGTTGCCTGTCAGCACTGGGCTGGGCACCCACTGGCATCTCTCCCGGACAAGTCACAGCAGGCAGCTGAGGCAGTTGCTGGCACAGCATCACAGTGACACAAACATGACCATATCCCCCTTCTTCTTGTCCCCTAGTTAATTCCCTCAGTCACTTTCACACTTTATTCTTCCCTTCACAAATCAAATGGCCCCTCCTGGGGGCCAAGGTTGAGGCAAGGTGATGATTTGGGGGTGTGACACACAAGACCCCAGAGGAACCAGGGCTGGACCATGTCATTCAACCTTTCATTTCTGTCTCCAAAGAGACTAGCAGTCCTCACTGAAAGAGTTACTATGATACATTTTTGAATCCTCAAAGCTTCCACACATAACAGTAAAAGATCCAGAGAAAGATTCTACTAGCAGTATATAAAAGCAAAAGGAATGGATTCAAACCAACTGTGCTGCTCAGCACAGCAGTTCAGTCAACGGCGCCTTTCACGCTGGGGATCTCAGGGGGTGCATCCCTGGGTAGTGGGACAGAAACCACTGCAAACACAGGCAGGTGCTGCCCCAAAGGTGGTGACCATTGGTTTCATCACACTGACAACACAGGGCCAGGGGCCAGTTTCCAACTGCTGGTATGCTGGCTCCTTTTTTACCTGGTACATGCACAAGTTGAAATGCAAAGTGGGGACTGGATGTTTTTCAGAGAGATTAAATAATCTTTTGATCTTGAGAACAGAGGACAGCATCTTCACAAGCTGCATGTGCATCTTTTTCTGATGATCAAATCCCTTTGAGGTATCTTATAGAGGACATGTTCAAAACACCTCAAGTCTCAGGCTGTTTGACTAATCGAGGCTCCAGAAGTCTTGTCTGTATTCAGCAAAAATATGATTTGTTTCTTCAACATTTCTTACAGCCTCTCAGCTACATTTTCCCCATCTCAGGAGCAAACTCCACTTCTCTGATTCTTTCCATATGTCTTCCAAAAGCAGAATCTTCTGCTAAGCAATTCTTGTACCACTGGTCCCAAAGGAGCAGCTCAACATCTCTGTGGCCTTGGAATCACTTGTTGCAGGTCTCCTGTTGACCATGGACAAAGTATACTCTGAAAACCATCCAGAACAGCTGACTTTTTAATTCTGAGACCACCAGGGCCAAGGTGAGAAGCTGCTGAACTCTCAAATGATCCAGTATGGAAGAGTGAGGAGAAGGGAGAAACAAGCTGTATTTTTGTAGGAGGGTAATAGGGATAATGACATAGATCCAAACTGGGCTAAAAACCAAGACTTTCTTTCCTGCAAGAAGGAAGTAGTAGAAAATAATTTTTACAGATTGTATCACCATGATAATAGGACAGAGACTCACTAGAGTTTCTCTCTAGAATTTCTTCCCAGAGACAGAAACGCAGCAGGCTGGATTTCTCTTTTAGATTCCAGGTAACTCTTCCATGTACAGTGACTGA